AGGAGGCTGGATGTACACCTTGCTGGGGTCGTTTGACCCCAGTACTCTTTCCTGCCATGGTAGGGGGTCGGACTCGATGATCTGCTCAGGTCCCTTCCGACCCTAGAAACTATGAAGTATGGTTTAAACAGGGACTATGGATTCTTAGCCCATTAGCTGGATTAGTTTTTGTGACTCCTTTGTACCGTCAAGTGTGTAGCTTATATGTTTGCCTCTCCTGTTCCCTCTCCCACCTCTCCTCTCTGTGCTTCCCTTCTCTGCTTATGTATTCAAATTTCTCTCTCCTTATACACAGGTTTATGCCCATTCTTTTATAGCATCTAATGAAGTGAATTTCAGTCCACAACAGCTTGCTATAGAAACAAACACACATTCACTCATGCACCCACACACACACTGATTAGTCTATAAGTTGCAAATCTACTCTGCCTTCTATGAGTACTTGTACCCTAGTGATTCTTGGCTGCCATAACCAGGATTGATGTACCACCAGGACTGCCCTAAATGGAGAAAGGCAAGAGCAATTTTGTGTCACATCTTGAGCTGAGCTGAGCTCACAACCCTTTATCCATAGTTGAAAACTGAGGGCACACTGTTAATCATTCATTTGATCCTCAATTGTTTTATTTAATATACTGATATCAGAGTGAGTCATACTTAATTCACAATCAATCAGTTATTCCAGAACTGAGTTTTTATACACACTTCAAATATATTATTTTCCCAACAGTATCAGTCCAAGAAGTAAATTTAAATGTGCATAAGATTTATAATTCTATTTTCTGTTAGCAATATTGGAATAATCTGAGTGATTTGTGAACATGTCACAGCTGAAGAGGCAATAATAGTAATGGCTAAGAATGAGTTCCAGTCCCTATTGTAAACCCTTATTTCACATCATAATTAATCATATGATTTATTTCCTCACTTCTAATATTGTACATTCACTAATACAAAGGAATATGTCTATTTTACAGTTGTTTTACCACATTATTGTTTTAACACAGAAACTAGTAGTAATAACCGTTAGCAGTAATCTAGTCCTTGTTAAAATTTAGCCACGTATAAAATCTATGAAATAAAATCGGTACCAACCCTATCCGAATAGTGAGAAAACTGAGGCACAGGCTAAGTGGCCTGCTTTCACGCAACGATTTCATAATGGGATTAGTCTATCATGTACACTTCATGCAGCAGTGCCTACCATTTTTAAAACTGACTTCTGAATTCCATTGTAACATCCTAATTGCTTTTTTGCACTATTATCTTTCTAAATAAATTCCTTTTGGAATGAAGTTTTTCTTACTGCAACTCAAGCTCAGGTCACAGTTGTGTATGTTCAGAAAGTCTGAGCATAATTGGCCCTGTCACTTGACTTACACTTAAACATACACGTGCATGCACACCTGCTTCCAGGTTCTCATCAACTGTATTGTGTCTTGATAATGGTTGTAAGTAGTAACAATAAACTTAGATTTGTATAATTCATGCAGAACAGGGAAACAAGCCAACTTGGAAGAAACTTCATTTAAACACTTTTAAAACTCAAATTTATAAATGTGCAAAAGGCTTCATATAGTGTGCTATTACGTTATTTCTGATCATACTAAAAAGTTGGAATGAGCAGAAATTTGGTAGTTTGGCTCTGAATCAGTGTAAATATGGAGACAGTTAAACTGAATGGTTGAGGATTTGAAATTGCTGCACTCAGAAACTATTGTCGACAGCAGTCTGGTTACACAGGTGTCAAGCCAAGTAGCCGCAGATAAAAAAACACATCTGTGCCCCTTATTTTGTAAATGATTATGTACATGCCTAGTTCTTTGCATAAGTACTTCCACTGCAGTCTTTGGAATGCTCTGTTCAGCAGTTAGGTTAGTATACTCACCTGGAAAAAGAAAGTCTTTGCTTGAAGGACTATTCAACATGAAATCTATAATTTGTCCTTGGAGTCTACGTGAGCAGTACTATTGACTTCAATGGAATAATTCAGCTGGTGAAAGTTTTTCACATGATAAATATTTAAGAAGTTTATATTCCCTCTTCCTGGCTTCCCCATGCTCTGACTGCGAACAAACATTGTCCTTATGCCTTTGCAGACATGTACCACAGGTTGAGGCACAGCACCAGGGACCCCAGATTAGGCTCCTAAAGCCCTGGGAGCTTCAGGCACCCAACCCTACAAGGCAATGTCAGTAGACACCAATGAAGCAGATCAGCTGTGCCAGGATACATGATACAGAATAGATGATTCTCATCCAAAGACAACATCTGTTTATACCCTTCAAGAACATTTCTGGAAATTTTTCAACCCTCATACTGAGAACTCAAAAATTAAACAGTCAAGATTAGCCTTCATAGACATTAGGACTGGAAGGGACCTCGGAAGATCGAGTCCAGCCCCCTGCCCGAGGGGCAGGAAGATATGAGCTGTTCAGACAGAAGGATCCTCATTAAGTCTGCATCCTCATGCACATATCTGGAAATGCAGTGAAGCAGATCCTTTGTCTTGATCTACTCCCTTTGTGCTCCAGTCTGAACATGAACCAAGAATGTAGCTAGGAATGGATGTTTGAGTGCGCACCACCAGAGGGCTAGAATATATCACAGCAGATCAAATTATTACACCGCAAATTATTTAAGACAATTAAAACACTGAATATTGCACCCTGCATATCCTGGAACCCACAGAATACCAAACGAAAGGAAAGGAAAAAGGTTCCTGGATTTTTTTTTAAAAATGGTATTCAACTTCGCTTATTTAAGGAAGGTTTCAAAATTAACTGAGTGGGCAGTAGCCTGGCTGGAGTCTCTCAGACATCCATTTTTTGGTAGAAATGGATAGAAACCATCCATAAAGGCTTGCTAGAGATTCTCCTAACGAAGTAATTCCCAGTGACCAAAGAACTAGCATGGTTTAAAGGAAACTGAGGAACAGGAAGTGTACGCTGCCATTTATCCCCTCAATCTAGAGCACATAGAGGGATGGGGGGCTAAGTGGTAACTGTACAGCAACCTCAGGACAAAAAAGCTCTCCAAGCTCAAGCAACAGAGGTAAACGTACAGCTGCAGGGAGAAGATGTGTAGAGACAACACCTCTTGAAAAATTCTAGTCATTGGTAAATAATTCATCTTTTTCTTCTTTCACTTCCATCTTTTTTTGCAATATTCTTTGAAAATATGTCTTTTGCCTGTTGACAAAAGAAATCTTTTTTTTTTGTCTATGATGAACAACTTAATAATGCTATGTTTGTCAGAAATAAAAACCTACACAGCCTTCCTATGCAACCTTACAGGCCTACCATATCTGCTATGTTACATTACGGGGCGATGCAATTTCTGTATATAACCTGGTAATATAAGCAAGTGTCAGGTTCCTCTAGCTGTGAAAAAAGGCTTAAAGATATTCCAAATGTTACTTTCAAGATGAAAGTAGAGATTTTAGTCGTGTCAGCACATGTTTTTCCAAGATTCAGACCACCCACATGCTATTTTCCTTACCAAGTAAAATGATCCTTGCTATGCTGTGCTTTCATTACAGCTACTTTTTCTCCCCATCTTTGGGCACATAGTAACACGTCATTTTAAAGAAGGAAAGGGATTATTATAATCGTAGCTTTCTCTGGAGTGTTCATGAAGGTCCTACAATGACCATAAAATGTATTTGTTGGTTTATTCACCAGAAATAAATAAATGAACAGCAATGCCCACATCTCTCCCTACACTACATCCCAAGAGTGTGCATTTTCCAGGCAGAATTCCTTTAAGGTCAAAGTATCATTTAGTCTTCAAGTCCATTCACAACTTGCTAAAAGTGTCGGTAATTCAGTCTTCATGTCTATTCAGTCTTCACCTTCCATGCTAACTACCAGTAAAATGTCTTCCAAGGGATCCCAGATACTACAGTGCTGATTATATGAACATCATATCGCATATATTATACTTAAAGTTGTTTCATACAAGCCACTAGTTAATTTGGGGTCAATACCCAAACCAACAAGTTCAGGTGAAATCCTTCATATTAAGTGTGTGAGAGTAAACGTGTGAGAGAAAGAATTAAACATACAAAATTATACATTTAAAATGCATTAAGGTTGCAAAGTCGAGCACTCAAAAATTAGGAAATGGTACAGTGAATCTGTTGTCTGGGAGTGGGTGATACAGTTTTTGATTATATGACCCCTTATTTTTTCCACCAATTCACTTCATTCAATGTACAAAATGGCTGTGCTAATTTAATGTGTACACTCATTTTTCTTTCTCTTCATTGCTCGCTGAGTGGCCCTGAGTCTTTTTTTATTCTACAGTATCTAGACTCTGCTATGAAGACAGAATTATTTATTTCCTCATAGGCTTTGCTGTGGTATTCATGGCAGTACCTGACTGCTTTACTAATATCAATTTATTTTCACAATAACCTGTGAGATGAGGGCACAAAAACCCATTTTACAGGCAGAGAACTGATGTGCAGAGAAATAAGGGTCAAAAGTATTCAATCATTTTGGACAATCAATTTGAGATGCCCAGGACCTGATTTTTCAGAGTCCTTAGCATTATATAGCATTTCTTATATTCAAATTATTGGTCCCATGGTTTCATTGCAAGGGGAAAAAAGCATTCTCTATCAGACAGTTTTATTAAACTCGATATTTTTCCTTTTGAGGGAAAACTTTGAATTTAGTTTTGCATATCTCTGTTCCCGAGGCTCTGTCTACACTGTGGACTTCTGCCAGCATAGCTCTGTCATTCAGTGGTGATCCCAGATGGACACATCTGTGTCGGCAGAAGTCGTGAGCAGTGGCAATGTTACAGTGGCAACATGCAGCTTTTAGGATTAGAGCTTCAAGTGGCAGGAGGAACAGAGAGAGGTCATTTATTATGCAATACAAATTCTGGTTGCCAGTAATTAGTTGCATCCTCTGCTGTTCCTATCACAGCGAAGCACTCCTCCTGTATACCATTGTACTATACAGTCCATTCAGTCCCATATGTTGCTATCATAGGAGCTTTGCACCAGATGAATAATTTAATACATTTTATTGTTTAATTCACTGTTAATCTTACATTAATGGTTTCTTACAAAATGAATCTTCTTACCTTCTGCCACTTTATGCACACATTATCCATTGCTGCAGATCTTAAAAGTTACAGCAATTGCCTCTCCCCAACTCTGAGCTAATGCATGCTCATTGGAAAAGGCCTGTTCAAGGCATTAAAGAAGCATCTGAGCGCCTACCAAAAATAACTGAAAAACTCAAGTGCAAAGGTACCTTGTGAATGAACATCAGTGCTTATGAGTGATGGAAGTACAGAAATCAAGGAAGTTACCGGGGAATGTTTCTTGCTTCTAAAAGGTTCTGGGCTGAGCCCAAGTTTGAAATATATATAGGCATATTTTGAAAAGCCAGTGTATTGTTCAGAGCTACAGTGTCCTTCTCGGCTTCAACTTGATTAGATAAAGTGACTGTCCTTTATCGTGTACTCTTTGAAAACAAGATCAAGTAGGGCTGATAGCATGTTGGAAGTTAAAACATGTTTAAATATTTAATGAAATCAGGAACTCACATGTGGTGACAGTGATGCCTTACTAGATGAGCCTAAAGCACGCTTGGTATTTCCCGTTAGCTGGCATTGCCACCAGGGGGCCTTTATGTTTCACGACTGAAATGGAACATCTTTACACAAAATTAAAATTGTTACATTATGCAACCGGCATACACACTTCATTTAAATCCATGGCTTTAAACCCAGTCTGCTGTAGGTTTCTCATTCAGATTTCCATTCTGAAAGGCTAGCTGCCTGTCAGAAGCTTGGCTTCAGCTCACCCCGGCCTGATCAAAATGAGTTGGCCTGATTTCACTGCATAATATGCACCACCTGTGTTCCAGAGGAGCTGAACTGGCACCAATTTATTTTCATCGAAGCCAACCTATATATATCATTTTGGTTCCTATCACACATTTAGGCTTTTCATGAGAATCCCAATAGGGCTTACATGACAATATACCACAGATAACATTTCAAAATTTGAAATGACATGATTTTTCATGGCATTATATTAGACATAGATACAGCTCACTATGGTGGCCACTGGGTTGGCTAGTGCTGCATAAGTCATTAGCAGCTGGAAACCAGGAGCACACTTTTATGCTGTATAATTATGCTACGAACATCAAGATGGCCATGGTCTTATGAATGCAAAGGAGATAACCCAAACAATATGTAAATTTTGTGCTGTTTCATCATGTTTTCTAATTTGACTTGCTCCATTATCTCCTGGTAATCTCTCACCATTACTAAACCTTCATTTGTGTGTCCAGTCTATTGCAAGATTTCTAAAAGCACACCATTTATCATGCAAGTCCTTGTTGACTAAAAGCAAAAGAAAAGAGAAACCCTAGCCTTCTCAGAAACACAGAATGTTTCTTGTACCTTTAAGTATTTCATTTCTTTCTCACAGTTTCTTATTTGGAGTCCACACATAAGTTCCTAACAAACAACTTTCATTCCAGTAAAATAAGGTTTAATGAATGGAATAAATTAGGTTAAATATTCTTTCTGGGAGTGTCTCAGCACTTTTCATAGTGGATTTAGTTGCTTGATTTTTCAATCTTTCTTTCTTTCTTTTTATCTGCCAGTTAAGGGATAAACAGATTTTGGGTGCCAAAGCAAAACTGAAATTATACAAAGAAAGAAAAATGCTGAAAGCGTTTGGAGTATCACTGATGAGAATAAGCTTTTCTCACCTAATAAAGTATTTATTTAAAGGGGTATTGTAAAAAAAATTTCAGCCAAAAGTTTGAGAGATTTTTTTTCTCTGATTTTCCAAGGTTATAGAAGCCCAGCACAAAGAAGTTAGTATTTGGTTTTTTACCCATAAAACAATTCATCCTGTCTCCATGCAAATGCTTGGAAAAGCAGTGTTGTGGTGACTCAGAAGGACTAAACACTGAAACTGAGTCATCAGGTTTCATCTTCCAGGGCAAACTAAGTGTAAACAGCAAAATCCACTAAAGCTAAACTACACTTTACCACTACAGCCAACATCATCATTCAACTTAAAGCAGAGCAATCTTGGCCTCTGACATAGGCACCAACTTTTATTTTTGCCCGAGGTGGGGGTCCTAAGATGATGGACATGTGGAAAGTTTCTTCTTTGATTAAAGACATTTGACGTATTTCAGGTGTAAGATCAGGTATAACGGTAATAAATCAATATGTTTCGTTCTAGATCGCTGAACTCTGAAGTGCAGAAGAAACGGAGTGATCCATGAACTTCATTCATGAATTCTGTATATGATTTGTGGTGCTTCTGCACCACAGAAGACTCCAGGCTGGGAAAAAATACTTAATAGAAGAACATGAACAATGCAAATTGCAACAAAAAGCCTGATAAACCGAAACACACAAGCTGAATAATTACGTGACTTAAATGACAAGAAAATGTTTGCACCCAAACATATCAGCAACCTATCCTGTCATCCCAAAATTGGTCTGAGACAGTATGAGTATTACTGAAATGAAATTGACTTGCTATTCGGTCCCAACCGGCTTTTGTTCATCAAAAAAAGATAATAAAATGGAAAGTCATATTTTTATTAACTGCCATTTCTACTCACCACCCCCCCCAGAAGAAAGCAACAAATTAAAAGAACTTTCTCTTATATTGGGCATAAACAAAGGTTCACTCTAGATGGTGACAACAACAACAACAATCAAGTCTGTTCCCATATTTAAATTACTTTTTAAAAATACATTTAACCTTTCCACAACAACCACAATAGCCACAGCAACCTTCCATTATAAATACAACTCAAAAAGAACTGAAATAAGAGGTTTAGAAAGATGCCCCTCACCCCCAATCCACAGCCCCTTGGCCCGGCTGGTTCCCCACACTCCTGACCCACAAGGCCCCACCAGCCCTGCTGGTGCCCCTCACTCCTGAGCTGCTCCCTCTGCCCTTAGCTATCTAGTTTGTGGGGAACAGGGTGGGTGTAAGCATAGGGGGGTAGGAGGGGGCACAGGTGACACAGCAGAGGGGTGGGGGGGCACATGCCCCTTGAGATTTCTGTGCCTACAGTGGGGCACAGGGCTACAGCCAGGTCAGACCAGCTCTGGGCAGCAGCCAGCTCCACAGCCCAGCAGGTGAGACCACCATGCTGCCATGACTGCCAAGGTGACGCACCCCATGTCCACCCGGCAGCAGTGGGGACACAACTCTGCACCACTGCTGTTGCTGCACCTCACCTAAGCAGCCATGGTGGCTGGACTGGGCTGGGCTGGCTGCAGCCCTGCACCCCATTGTAGGCACAGAAGTCTCAGGGGGCATGGCCTCTCTGCCACATCACCTGTGCTTCCCCCCGACATGTCACCTGTGCCCCCCCCGCCGCCCCATAGACTTACCTGGAGGGAACTGTAGGAACTGCTTGGCTGCCATGTGCATGTGCATGTGCATGTGCATGCACACATGCTTATGGCACCTCCTGCCTCTGATCACTCTCCCTGCTCCCTGCAGTCCCAAGCAGCCCCTTTCAGGCTGCAAGGGGAAACCCACAGTTTCCCATGTTTTTCTCCTTTAAAAGAGAAAATCCATTTTTTTCCCCATTAAAGAAGAAAATCTACATTTTTCCACAGCGAACCAAAAACCCGGATCCCTAGTAAGAGCTTAGGGCCTCAGTCATCAGTCCTAAGCATGTCACCTTACTTCCAGCATCCTCAACATAAATTAATCCATCTTTCACAACATAAAACAATGTAATCTAGAAATAATATAGAAATATTACATAATTCTTAGGTTTGGGCCCTGACAGCCATCTTCCCGAGGGGGGCCAGGGCCCTCAGGCCCCCACATACCCAGTGCCAATGGCCTCTGAGCAAAGAGCATGGGGAGGGGACACGTTTAAAATTTAAATTATACAATTTTAAAAAAGAACAGGAGAAACTCTAGCACATTGTGGAGTCACCTTTTGCTCTTTATCTCACAAAAGTACACTCATGGCACATATCCAGACAAGTGCTCACATGCAGTTTGCAGAGCCTCCAAACTGTTTGAGGTGCCACAAACCACACACAACCCATGAGCAAGCATTTTCTATGCTGCAAATTTGCAGTGTGGCGCCAAAATTTGATACCAGGAACTCCTGATATAAAAAAAAAAACACTGCAAAGAAGAAGCGGTGTGGCACATATTCTAGGAGCCTGCCCTGGAGCAACTGGAGTCTGGGTCCTCCAGGGAGATGCTCTGGCTGCTGGCCAGAGTGTTCCCACTGCTTTTGGTGTCCCCCAGCCCCTCCACCACCAGGAGTCTGGAGCAACAGGGCAATGGCAGTTTCCCCTAAGCACAGTATTTTGCTCCACAGCAAACCCCATGTGCAGGGGCACGTGCAGCAGCAAAAAGCAGTGACACAAATTTGTGCCACTGCTACTTGTGCTGCAGCAAACGCGCATGCCTGCATATAGGAATGTGTCCAGGGTGTCTACCTTGAGCAACACCGTACATGTTCAGCCTCATGTAACTTTTCAGTTGTTTCAAGAGTAGGTCATTTAAGGACAATTCCAATCAATTAGAAAGAGTTTTATGGTACGTATTTTGCAAACACTTATCATTTTTGTGCAAAATGCCCAGCTGCTCAGCAACTGTTACAATGGCCTGGGTTGGTATGAACTGCACATCAAGTTTTCTGCTATAGATACTTTCTCTGAAAATATGAGTTGTGTGAGATTCCTCCTCCATAACTGAGCATCAGTGGATACCTCAAGTTGGCAGGCAGTAAGAAAAAAGTGGAGCTCTTTCACATCTAGGTTTGAAGCTTGAGTCCTTACTCTCTTTTATTCCATGCACAAACCAGATGAGAGAGAGAGAGAGGCAATATTAATCACATCATATGTTCCCTTTCAAGAAGCCTCAGTGTTGGTGAACCTGAGTCTCAGAATCAGGTTTTATTTCCAGTCTCTTTCGACTAATCATAAACATTTTATGTGATTTCCTGCTCCAGTGTCAATTTAGTATTTATACTGCTCAATGTTTGCTATGATCCAGTCCAAAAATGTAGCTGGCTGCACTAGTGTCCTGTTTGAAAAGTGCTGTAGGATGAAAGGAATTAACACAAATGCAAGATATTATACAGATACACTCTTAGAAAAAAATAGCAACAGCAAATGCCAGAATAATTTTTCCACTATACTTTAAGAGCAAAGACACATAAAAAAAAAAGAATCAGGCTTCCGCCTCTTACATTCAGCTGAAACTGATCTCTCCAAAGTCTCTAATGACCCTTTTTTCACCAAATCTCAGAACCATCCTCAAGTTCCTCAACCTGTCAGCTACTTTTGACACCATAATTTGCATTCTGATTGAAACAGTGACCCCCCTTGTCTTCCATGACTGTTTTTTCCTGGTTTTCCTCCTAGCAATCCAGTCATGCCCCTATGGTTCTAGTTTGCAGGGGCCTCTTTTCTACATGGCTCTGTCCCCAGTCCCCTTCTTTTCTCCCTCTGCTCTTATATTTTACTGATCCCATCTACAAATGCAAAGTCAACTGCCATTGCTATGAGGATAACTTACAGATGTGCTTCTCCACACCTGACACGTCTCTTTTGGCCAAACTAAAAATATCACTCCACCTCTCCTCCATTACTCTGTGGGTGCCTACCCATCAGCTCCACCTCCACATGGATAAGAGGGAGTTCTTAGTTTTCCCTCTCATCCCTTCCCCATTACCTCCTTTCACTGAGAACAGCAGCAGCACCCTGCCTGGCACTCATACCTGAAACCTGGACAGCATCTCCAAGCCTAGGTTCTCCTGTCTAGGAGTCGAAGTCTTGCAGATTTTTTTTCTGGACAACATTCAAAGATTCAGTCCAACCTACTCATCCATCCACCTAAATCTTTTTTTCCAGACTCTCACCATCTCACATTTCTGTTATGGTGACAAAAATTAAATGAAATATGAAAATAAATAGAAAATATGAAATTCCAAAATATGAAAATAAATGGAAAATCATGTGAAGGCAAACCAAGAAAAAATCTGTACCATAACCTTATTTACCTGATTGCACATTTAGAAAAATATAGTAAACAAAATGTTTTCCATAAGTACAATTGATTGTTTGAAATAAGAAATTTGAACATTTGAAATTAAAACAGTTCCATCTGATGAAGTGTGTACACAGAAAAAGTACAGCTGGTTACTGTAATAGCAGGAAATCTGAATAAAATCTAATTATTGCTAATGTGTTTTTCTCAAAGTATTTTCCACTGAGGTGAAATGTAAAGTATCATACTGTGCAAGTAAGATTCTACCTGCTGCTTTATAAAATAAGGTAACTGCCATGCAAAAAAAAATCACTATTATGCATTTAATTTCCTTCACGTAATTCAAGCAAGCACTTAATAAACTATTTACTTAACAGAAGCAGCCTGTGGCCAGTCACTTGGAATGGTTTCAAAAACCAGACTGTCCCTAGGTTCCTCCTGGATTATTTGTATAAGCAAAATGTTTTTTAAAAAATCTCCTGAGAAGAACAAAGTAAAATGGCCTGATTCCCATCTCCTTTTCCTTGGTTTAAGAAGGAAAGCTCCAATTTGTAAAATATAGAGAAAGCAGGGCATTTGCTGCTGAAGCATGTATTCTACAATTCCTCTGACAGCTTTAGGCATCAACCATAATGCTCCTCCCATCCACCAAACTCAATCCATCTACCCCCAGCTACTTGCTGTGTGCACTTTCAGACCCATATTTTAATGACTGTTTTCACTTGGGAGCAAGAAAGATTCTCCAGATACAGGCCGATGCATATGTTTACCCAGTCTACTCATAGAATGAGCCAAACTTAGCCAAATTCATCCAGAGGATGATTATGATGAGACTACTTTTATTTTTACAGGTAAACGTGTTCATAAATACTTAGCTGAATTTGGAACTTACACAGTAAGGGTCAAAAATTTCAAAACACTTCATAAAAATAAATTAACCCTCAATATACAACAAGAGGCAAGTAATTCTTTTGCTTTCAGATACAGGTGAAACTAAGGCAGAAGTTGTTCAAAGCCACACATGGTATAGGCTTAAATTTCTGTTGATTCTGGCTCCCAGGACACCTGCTTGACAATCTAGCTATCTAGTCCAAGATTGTTACTCAGAGGCCAGAATGTCAACAAGCATTTCATGACCCTTTGTCTTCCACTGACCAGCAAACAACATACAACAGTCATCATCAGACATCATGCAACAGCATAGTTTCTTCAGTGCAATCAAAGGCCAAGCACACAAAGAGCTGTCCCTCTGAGGTCCTAGGATGGAACAACACTTCTTAAAGACAGTTCCACCATCAATGCATGGTGGAAGTAACCCTCCAAGAGCTTTTGAACTGATACTCTACTATCAAAGTTAATACCACCAAAGCCATTCCACAACACCTCATTAAGGACTACCTTACAGATCCACCAACCTATCAAGAGGCCTTGAAAGCCACAGAGTGGATGAAGAACAACAAAGCGTGTGGTCTTGATGGTATACCAGCTGAAATGTATATGCATGGTGGAGAAAAAAGCTCCCTTACCAACTCCAAACCACTACTCTAAAAATCTAAAAACACGAACAAATTCCCAGTGCCTTGAGAGATGTCAGGATTGTAGCCATGTTCAAGAAAGAAGAAAGATTGGATTGCAGCACTTTCTACGGCCTTGCATTCCTATCCATAGCAGGGAAGATTCTTGCCTACATTCCTCAATAGATTCACTCCTTTCACCAAGGAGATTTTACCTGAGTCCCAAAGTAGCTTCAAACCATTCAGAGACATGATCTTTGTTGTTAGAGAGCTGCAGAAGAAGTGCCATGAATAATACATGAATAATAGAGACCTTCTCCTGGCCTTCACTGACCTAAGGCCTTTGATTCAGTCAACAGAGAGGCCCTATGGAAGATCCTGATGAGATTTGGATGCCCACCAGAAGTGTTTGGACTCAATGTCAATCCTCCATATCAACTGGAAGGACAGCAGAACAAAAGCCAGCATTCTGGCTCAAGTAAATACCACCAGCATCGAAGCCATGTTCATACAGCACCAGCTCAGTTGGACAGGACACAGACAACCAGCTCCTGAAATGGGTCCTGCACTCCAGCTCACTTTGGTTACCACTATAGAGGTAGGCAAAAGAGATTCAAGGACACTGTCACAGGGCACTAAAGTGCCTGCTCCTTTAAGAGCAGAAAACTGCCTAGGGAGAGGGCCCTAAGAGCCAGACAGGCTCATATTTTGGTTGCTGTTTATAAACTGGTGGACCAGACTGCAGCTACTGCGGGAGGAGGAGGCCTCGTTGGGGGCCCACTACAGTGTGGAGACCCCAGCACCAGGTAGGGCGCGGTAACAAAGGGGGTGAGCAGACCCCAGCACCAGGGTCCACAGAGACAAAGGGGGTGAGCAGACCCCAGTGCCCGGGGGCACAGAGACAGGGCTACGAAGAGCCCAGTGATGACTGGAGGCTGAGCTAGGCTAGGGTCTCAGAGAGACAATTTGTGAATGCCATCTGCGAGGCTTGGGGCATGGTAAAGGGGTGATTTCGGAGCCACACATCTAGCCCATAAGGCTGAAGGTGTCCCATGAGGCATCCATTTTGAGCGGGCCCCAGAAAGGAGTCCAAGAACCCACAGGGATCAGTGAGGTCCATCAGGACCGTGTCCAAACACAAATTTGAGAGCAGCCTCCCTGTTTATTATAATTACTAGCAAGACGTGGCAGATGAGGAAATGGGTGCCCATTCAGCGATATTGGCATGGTCACAGAGCCCTAGGGGCATCACAGCCATCCCTGGGGACCCCATCCCATGACAGACACCTTGAAGACTAATATGAAGAAACTAGCCAATTGCCCATCAAGAATGATGGGGGGCAGGTGGGGACGGAGCACTGCCACCCACCACCCCACATTCTTTTCTTCTAGAACTGTTTGCCGTATCTGCAGCTGAACATGCAGATCTTGGATTGGCCTCTTCAGTCATCTCTGGACTCACTAATGACTTCCCTCTCTACTGGAAAATTATCTTCTCTTAGAAGGCTGAAAGGGCAGGAGTCATGTAGATGGGTAGGAAAAAAGGTCAACAATATTTTGTGGATTTTTCCCTTTTTCTAAGTTGCTGTCACTCCTGTGCAGTGCTCAGACTACTAGGACCAGATTCTATTCTGCCTATTAGGCATCTAAGTGCAATTCTATTCCACCCTGAAAATCAAGTAATGCATCTACTTTTGTAACACACTCTTAAGATTGCATCACAAAAAAAAAAAATCAGTGAGGAAGAGGAGGGCCCATCCTCTTTTCATGACTTGTTTTTCAGGGACTCAGATTAGATGGAATAGAATCACACTTAGATACATAACTCTACCTATGTAGAGTACCTACAGGTGCCTAATTGATGGAATAAAATCTTGCCTCTAGAATCTACCCCTCTCTACAAAAGCTCATCATGTTAAATGTTTCCAGTGTACCCAAAATGAGAAGCCCTTTTTTAATTTTCATAACACAATAAAAGAAACAGGGTGGACTGAGAACCAGATCTTTGACTTGCTGGGCAAGTTCTCTTACAACAAGACTATTGGTCAGAAACATAACAGTCATGTTCAAGAGGGAATGATGGATGCTGTGCCTTATTGTGAACTATGCTGTGTTGGTATGTTAAGTTTTAGATTTGCTTGCTCTCCTTCTAGCCTATGAATCTTTCACTCTTAGCTGCCCAACGGGCCACCTTCAGTAAGTGAAGTGGACTCTCCCAACCCATATAGGGCAGTTTCCTGGGAAGTGGGAGATGCTTTCTAAAATCCTGCAGGGAAAGATGAGTCTAGAGCTGAGGTCCCCCAGTTCTGAAGCTCTTACTGCTGGACAGGTAGAGAAAAGATGGCCACATCTCATTATCTTTAGGTACATACATTATCATACATTAGGTATGATATCTAGCCTTATTAGGTATGAGGCTAGATATCAGGAGGCACTACTTCACAGTCAGGGCAACAAGGATTTGGAACCAACTTCCAAGGGAAGTGGTGCTTGCTCCTACCCTGGGGGTATTCAAAAGGAGGCTAGACAATCACCTAGCCAGGGTCGTTGGACCCCAGCATTCTTTCCTGCCCATGGCAGGGGGTCGGACGTGATGATCTACTTAGGTCCCTTCCGACACTACCAACTATGAAACTATGAAGAACCAACCAAAGCGACCAGGCATCCTTACTAGCTGACAGGAACAAGCCATTAAGGCAACCTTGATCTACTGTGCACATCTTGAAACTGGAATGTAGTGTAGCTCTGTCCCACAAGGCTTACTATGTAAGTAGTACCAACAAAACAGAGAAACAGGATGGAGGGAGGATGCTCATTATGTGGAGTATGGTAGAGTTTTGGGATACTTCAAACATTGGGACACCAAATTAACTATTCTGATCTGAAATGGTGCGGTAGGCACTAAGACTAAAATGGCAATTAGTTACATTTTATCCACTTATTTTCATATCTGGTTCTTCATCTTTCAAAATGAGTAAGTAACTAATATGTGCTGCAGCAGCTGCTACTCCTGTTACTCCTGATTACAGTCCAACTGGCTTCATTTCGAAGAGAGAAGTATTCCCTTCAGGAGCTTGGCATCCAGCTAGGGAGGGCATTGGATTTGTTCACAGCCACCTCCTGATCAGAGAGAATTAAATTTAAAAGGTCCACTTCTGAGGCAGCTGCTAGAGAGGGAAAGCTATAGGAGACTTCACATTTTCACAAAGAAGAACCTACTCTTTTCTTACTAAAACGGACTTGATAGAGTGCAGAGTAGCTCTCCTGTTGATATACGTTTTTTAGAATAAGAAAGGAAAAATTGATATTCTTGTAACTGTGGAAAGAACTAAAAATGCATATTTCAGTTTCACAAAAAGCAAGTGAAACAAAGGATTTTATTTTTCCCCTTACCCTCTTTCTTTCCACCAACCCCCCAAAGATGCTGGCATACAAATTTTTTTGCTTTAATATCACAAATGCAAAAATATCTCTGCATTTTTTTCCTTTTGTTGCATCTTGACAAAAATTATATCTGCTTTTCCAGCTAGTAATAATGGAGAGGGAGCCTGAGATACATTTTCACAGAAGAAGACAGGCATGTTATCCTTTAAAGTAATTGCTGCATGAGTTCTCTTTTTTCAGGATTCATGTTATATCTTTTCAGAAGACCTTTAGGGGGAAAAAACCCTGTTCTCCCTTCTTTTCAATCACACTTCAAAAACTAGTTCTTAACTAAACAGCTACAACTTCCACAAGAAAAGGAAAGATGGATCATTGGATAGTCATCAATATACATTTAAACTTCCTTTTTAAAGCACATTTTTTAATCCAATGCTTTCCTCATTAGCACCAACAGCATACAGAATATGTTCCCAAACGTTCACTCTCCTACCACTCTGTTTCCCCCATGCTATGATTTTTTTTCCCAACAATTTGGGACAAAATCCAGTCACTTCAGTCAATGAATGAAGAGAAAAACGCAATTAGAAAAAAGGTGCACACTTTTAACAGCTTTTTCAAAGCTGAGATTTTGACCTGTATTTCCCACTACATTTATTGGATCCAGGCATCCAAATCTCCTAGGTGGCTTTGCATATCCCAGTCTCTATGTACCGAGGACATCATCATATTGCTTCCATTTGTGCTACGGATTATCCTGCTCAAGATTAAAATGGCAACACCTTACTGCCTCACAGAGCACAGTGTTACATGACTATGGATACTATTATTTTTCCTACTCCTGTTTGTCTCCTAAGGTCAGCAACATACCTGCCAGGTCTCAATGACATTAATTCAAAGAGATTTTGTATCAAGTGAAATGTCAGAGTTTGTGCAGTGAAAATAGTGTTTATACCCCCTTGTCAACAGTGATTTATTAAGTCTTTGCTGGTCCCTTCTTCTGAGGAAGGGCATCATTCCACAATGAAACCCAGTTAATAATGCAACATTGCAGCATTTGGAAAATGAAAATGAACTCGCACAGGTTGGGTATTTTTAAGTAAACAGTAACAGAATCCAAGTGACATGTCATTACCAGGGTTTCCCCCAGTGATACAACAAACATAACACATCAATTGCTGATATTATCAGAGGAAATAGCACTTCCAGCCACATGGGACAAATGTCAGAAAAACAAATGGAGCCAAATAAACAGTATCACAAGGAGCATAGGATTATTGATTGGTAGCTTTTCATCTTCCGTCCCTTACAAAAAGTCCCATTTCCAAATATCCACCAGTCAGGTTACTGTATGATATATACCTCCTCTGCTTCCTGGCAAGTAAATACTAGGGCTGTGCGAAGCTTTGGTCACTGATTCAATTCAGCAGAGATTTGGCCTGATTTGGTGGCTGAATCGCTGAATCCAAATTGAATCAGAGGACACTTTAATCTCTCCAAATCGAATCGGAACCCTCCAAACTGATTCGGAGAGATTCAGAAAGATTCAGCAATTTGGATATAGACACAGCTTTAAATGCTTTTTCTACATACCTCTAGGTAGCAGGCGGGTCATGAATGCCGTGATGCTGGGGCACATGGAGAGTCCCACAGAAGCGCAGGGGCCTCCCCAGTGCACTCAGCAGCAGACCCATTCGTGGACCAGAAGCACTTCCAGTCCACTTCCAGGTCCACCAGAGAGTGCGCCGGGGAACCCCCTGCACCCCCGGCTCAGCGACTGGTGCTTCCTGGGTCAATAGGAGGCCGGACAGAGTAACAACTTCTCTGACCAAAGGCCTCACCCTGCTCCCCTTATTCACCTGAGTGCAACAGGATGCTCCAAGAGTAGGAGGCTTCAGGGGCAAGTCAATGTCTTTTTATAAATAAATCCACACCATGAAGCAAGTGAGAAGAGTGACTCCCAAGGTTGTTTTCCTTCATATGTATTGAAAAGAAAATCTAAGCTAAGGTTATTCCATACCCTCACACCCTTTCCATGAACACACTCTTTTGACCCTCTCACAAACACAGCTGCTCAGGGGGTTTTGCTGCCCAGGGACAGGAGGAGTCCCAGTCTGCTTGCCCCCAGGATTGGCCATCCCAATTAGCACTGATCCATTCCTGAAGGCAGAGGGGTGCAGCACTCCATGAATAACCAATAACTAGAACCCCAGCCCTAAGCCATGGTCCACCAGGCCCACACACCCTGTCTCTAAAGCACAGTTTCAGAGAAGAGTGGCAGACTGAGTTTGCTGCTGCTGATGCTAGCATTTTGCTAGCTGATCTTTAAGAGCTTGCTCATCCTCTCTCCAGACACCTTCTGGCCCTTTCCTACCATAGGGAATGTCAGCCTGACTCCCTGAATAACTGCCCCCAATGGATTTAGGGAGCAACCATGTGTATGTTGAAAGCAGAAGTCATTAGCAAGCATCTACAGTGACCAGTGACAGCTGAAACAGTGGAAAAAGTGATCACTTAACAATAGTTAAGGTTAAATATATTCCTCCAGTTTATCATCATTCACTTTCTCTAAATGCATTACATCAAGAAAGAAATGTTTGGGGAAAGGACATTGTGAATTACACAGTATGGCAGGCATTACCATCAACAGTAGACTATGCCATCAATGCCATTCTAAATGGGAAGTGTGATAAACAATCCCAGGGATCATTGTATTATATTAATGTCCTCATAATACCAGGCTCTCATGGAGGTGATGTATTGGAGGCTGCTCTCTGAGTCAATAATAGCGCACCTGCCACCATAATGATATATGCAGCATATATTAAGAGATTGGAATAGGGGCTATGCATGGCACATCATTTATTTCACTAGCACAACTTTTTCAGCACCATGTTTCTTGCAGGAACAAATAAATAAAGTCTTTATATTACTTATCAGTTTTTATCTGTGGATTCCTAAACATCATCTTCACTTTTTTAGATGGGGAAAGTCAAGGCATGGAGAATCTATATGGCCAAAGTCATGCACAGCTAAAGTCATGTACAGAGTCATAGAATCGAAGGACCAAAAGGGACCTGCAAGATCATCAAGTCCGGTCCCCTGCCATAGGCAGGAAGTTATTGGGCTCAAGTGAGCTCAACAAGGTGCAAGATCATCAAGTTTCGAATAAAACGCAAGTATCCCAATTCCCACATCAAGAATGTATTCACTTAGCCATTCTGCTACTGATAAATCAAAAAGTATTTTATATCAGATTTCAGTTTGCCTGGGTATGGATTTTTCTGCAAACGACTATCCCTGTGAATTACAATGAGGCACACTGAAAATTTCTTCTGTGACAAGATTCCATTTAATATTTTTTAAAATACCTTTTATATTTGCATGTGAGCAAAAGCAAACATCCCATCTCTCTCTCTTTCCAAGACATTTTCTTTTCCCAATTTACATCTGTGATGCCAATGAGATTTAATGTAGCAAAGCACATTAAAACGTAATAGGAAAAAGAAATCCAATATGTTGGTATAAGGCTCAAATTCTGTCAAGCAAATGGAGTTAAACCATTGGGTCTCTCAATCTGACACAAAACCTATTAAGGCAGGTGATCAGAATATACAATGACTGCCCAGGAAGCCAGAATCCAACAGCCTTCCTCACACTGAATAGCACCGTGTAGTACTCCAACTGACTTCAGCAGAAATCTCTGTAAAGCAAAATGTTAGTATGAGTAAAGCCCCTGTAATAAAGGGTAGAAAATGGGGCAGTTTACTGTCTTTCGTTAGGCAAGTAAGAATTTTGCCTGAGGAAAAATGGAAGACTGTGTCCTGCAAGCTGATTCATGAAGGCAGATGTCTTCACTTGGGACTTTGATGGGTCTCTATGAAGGCAGAACGGTCCACCCACAAGGACTACCCTGAAGGATAAGCAGGGCCCATCTTTTCCCCACACATATCAAATGACTGCCACATTTGGGGCATTATTACAATACATTAATTCATTTGTAAGACTTCAGGATTTGAGGCTACTTTCTGGTCAGTGCCAGATAATCAAACTATGAGTGTTCATATAATTTAAACTGGCCACCCTATTTGCGCTCAAGATTTTGTGCAAGAGCATGAAATCTAGAGATTAATTTGAGAAATACTTTGCAGAGCTAAAACTTTTTTTTCCTGAAGAGGAAAAAGATGCAGGGTTTTCCTTCAAGCTCATCTGTAGCTTCTTATTTTCAGAACCTCACTCAAAAACTCATCTTAGACCCAATGGGACAGTCTTGCTAAGGCTCACAAACTATTTTTTAAAGCAGCTCGGAGTCCAGTTCCAAGACGGCACCCTCATTAAACTAGCTCCATAGCAGGATGAACAGGCACATTGGCAGTGTGCCAGGAACTGTGTGGCCACATCTAATTTCCATATAAATGTACATAGCATTTTAATCACAGATAAAGGCCCACAGTTATTTCTTTTGTTGTTAGAGAGAACTGAATGCGCTCACGTGCTTTACAAAACAACATCAGGAACTGCACTGTCCCACTACCTCACCCCCTGCACTGTGAAACCTGTTCATCGTGGTGTTAAGTGCTACCAAATCAGAAATGGCAACATCCTCACCCTCTTACGGGCACCGCGTAGCACATTGCACAGGTTCAGATGACCACACAAATGGCACAAGGCGGAGGAGAAACAGACCCAGAAAGACAAACTTGGTTTGAACGGCTGCAGAGGGAAGCTGGCTCTTGCTCTCTGAAGCCTTATTTATTCTTGTAGTAGAGTGTGAAATTCACGGTGAATCTGCATGAAAAGAGTGGGTCTAATTTTCCCCCTCTTCCAAGCTCTGCTCAGTGGGAGGTAGAAAGTGGGGACGGGGGGAAGAGAGCTAAAGGAAACTTGTCACAGCTCCCTGATCCAGTACCAGCCACGACCCAATACTACACGCAGCAGCTATGAGGCTGCTGGAGCTTATTTCACTGATCATTAAGGCATCCCGTACAAAGAAAGCATCAGCACAACAAATTCTGCTCTATGACACTCCCAGTCTGCACTCAGCCCAAGAAATTTTGGCCAAGAGAGGCTGTTGGATGGACAGCTGCAACAGGAGTCAGCTCAACTGCCTTTACTCCAGCATGAAGTTTCCCATTCCTAATTCTTTGTGGAGTTGTTTTACAGCAGGAAAAGCAGACAAATATCATTACCATACTGACATATCCCACACCCAACTTGCACTGGACATAAAACACTATTAACACTATTATTGCACTGGACATAAAACACAGGGTAAGGCAACAAAGAATTAGGAACTAACTGTAAAAATTGGGAGGTCTCTTCGGGACAAACATTTGGGAGCAACTATTTTCAGCACTCATCCTTGCATATTTGTTACTATCAACGGCAGTTCTCCCAAATGAACAAATGTAGGTGTCAGAGGTTTGAATGTTGACTGAAAAGATAGGACTAAACACTGATGCCGACAAGTAGAGGCTGCCTACAGAGAACCTCAAATCATGAGAGGACTTGAATCCTCAGATCAGCTCACCTTTTGTGGATCTTCTTCCCCTGGGGAGACGCACAGGCAGGCTCACACTTTGTCTAGCACTCCACAAATCTGCATCTGTCATTCAGAATCTGTGCCTTCCTATTACATAACTGACAAAGTGACGGCAATAATTAATCTTACTGTGTACGGAGCTGATTGATATCAAGCGGAATTAAGCTACAGTAATCAAGTTAGACAGTCACAGATGTGTAAGGTGCTGGAGTTTATCAGATTTTTCAGGCACACAATTTGAGTCTGTATAATGAGGGGGAACTATCCTAACAAGATAGCAGAGGGGCATTAATATGACGCATGATTTTTAAAAAAAAATTTTAGCTCTTAAAAAGTGTCACATTTGTCAGCTGTACAAAAAGTTGTCATGCTATGTTATTACATGTGATGTCAAAATTGTCAGAGTAGGAGCAGCATATTTTCTCCTTGGGAATATGGTCTGCATTTAACACACACACACACACATGCACGCAACACCCTTATTGTGAGATGCTGGAACTTCAAAAGCCAAGTGCTGCTGAACAGCAATAATGGGGGTAAAGTGTAGATCTCTAAAGGTGTGAAAAGATGCTGCTAAAAGGGAAGTTGAAATAGAAACAAGATTCAACAAGGACACTTATCATCCCCGTCAAAGGCTTTCAGTGATCAGTGTCAGCTGCCATCACAGTAGGAGGAGGAAAACCTTTCTACATGAATATTTGATTAAATTAGGCCAAGCTGAAATCTCTGGCAGAACATTCTAACGGTGCGGGTTTTCTATCAGCAGAAGGGGTAATTCTCAATTCACACTGGATTTTTTTTTTTGATGCTTCATCAATTATTTGATTGTTAATTTAAGTTAATTTAGTACTCATGATAAAATACTAGTTTGACAGTTCCTGAGACACCAGGCCTACCATGCAGGTGCAGCAGCAGCAAGGTGAGTTTTTCTTGCGTCTATTCCCCTTCCAGTAAACTTCATGCCATATTTGAAGCACGGGAATTCACTCTCCTTATTGTTTCTTTTGCAAGTCACTTGGTCAGGACTGCCAACACAAGAGTCAGTTAAAGCCACCTTGCTTCGTGCCATTTAATATCTAACCTCAGTGTTAAGATCTTTATGGCAAGGGCCTGTTATTGTCTCCTCAACGTGCTGAATGATTTTCACTCCATGCCATCATCAGTATGATATTAAACAATCATCATCCTGCTGGTAGCCCTTGCAATGTGGACACCTACTTGCTAAGAACCTGTTTCACATGAGCCACAACATCGTCTTAAAGTAATGATATTTTGAGCCCAAGTAACATGAGCTAGGTTTCACCAAGGGGGCTGGAGGTGAAAGACTTTGTATCCCATCTCAGATGTGCCACCCAGTCTCATATGTTAAAGGAGATTCTAAATAAGTGGAGTATTTTCGTGTAGCTCTGATCGATGTAACTATACTGGGAGGCCACTGAAAATGAACATTAAAAAATTATCAACAAAAATGAAGTTGCAATTGAAAGTTTCAGTTTTTCCCCTAGCTATTTTCCACTGAGAAGCTCTTCAGCTGCCTTTTCTTTTGGTATATGTGTGTGTGGGGGAAGGGGGGAGGTCTACTTTCCATTCTTAAAATAAAATCAATTAATAGAGAAAAGAATGAGTATCAGTCTCTCCACTGACCTCATTGGAGTTGCTTCTGATTTACAGCAGTGTGATAAGAGAACTAGTCCCTAGAGTGCCAGGCAAGAATGGGAAAGACAATCTAGTTAGGAATAGTTCACTTCCCCTAAGGACAAGTACAATGATACCTGGGTAATCCTGGAGGCATTAATTCTGTACTCATGACACCAGCTCTTTATGGAGTGACTCCACAGATGCCTGGAGTGGGGATTCAGACCAAGTACTCTTATTCATTCCCGGAAACTGGAGCTATGCTGTGGAGGAGTCTTTAGTACTCTTGCCTATGAGCATGACAGAGAAATGAGATTGGACAACCCCTTTGGGTTCGGCACTCAACAGGGGGATGACCTGGTCTACCTAAGAACTGTAGCACACCCTTGTTCACAGTGATGGTGATATAACCCTAGGAGTAACTCAAAAACTTCACCGTTAGGAAAGAGAAGCACAATGGGCCCAATTAAAGACAAGCGTTGTGCCTGGTTCACATATGCTAGGTAGTACCTAGTGATACTTAGCAAATCTGGGGGGATGTAGGGGGAAGGGGCAGAACCATTTTGGCCAATTATATATATATATATTTGGGCTGGCTGAAATAATCTGTGAATTGAATGCAAGAATTGTTTTGGCTGAAAAAGAAGTCAAAATATAATTTTGATCCTTCCAAAACAAAAGCATTTGATTTTTCATGTCATGCTTCGTTTTGAAATGAGTCTTCATTTATTCATTACAAACCAGAAGAAAATAAAATATTTTGTTTCAGATAAAACAATGATCTATTCAACTCAAACTGATTTTTTGTTGTTGTTTTGGCTTTTCCTTTCAGCAGCAAAACTGAATTTGCTGTTTATTCCAAGTTGATCCAAAGTGAATATTTTTCAATTTTTCAGTTCAGCCAGAAACCAAAAAAATCAATTATTCACACAGCTCTAGTGTGCAAGTTCACTAAATGTGACATGCATTCTTCTCAAGTAAGTCATCCTTATAAGAAAGGCATGACACTCAAAATTACCCAGTAAACAAATGACTTCAGCCTAAATCTGAGCCATGCACAAGATAAAATGAAACTAACACCTAACATCCCCTTCCCTCTCCATTCCCCCCTCCCATCCTCCCAAAAATAATAAACAGTAAAGGAGAAATATTTGTCTGGGAACTGGTCTATTTTGTGGATCAAGAAGCTCAATAGATTTTAGGATGATTTTGCTCCTCTAATCAGTATAAATGGCTACTTACTACAGCAACTTCACCATATACAGACACACAGGGGCTGTGTCTACACATGCACTTAACTGCAGAGCAGACTAAGTAGCTGCAGAATAAAGCACCAGTGTCTACACCTGTGATGGTATTAGATCACAGTAAACTAATCAATGCTGCAGTAAGATAGTACTGTCAGGGATAGTACTATCTTATGGCAAGGTAATTTTCTGCAATTAAATGCATGTGTAGATGCTAACTGTGGGCATAAATTGTGCCTGGTCAGCCCAGCCAGCAAGGGGTCAGACTCCTGCCTACTGCCTAGTCACATGGCTCTGCACTTTCAGCACCCTTGTGCCCCAGCCAGCCCCTCCACCACCCATTGCCAGAGCCCAGGGCTGACCCCCCATTCCACCTGCCAACCTGGGCCTGTTCCACTCTGGCTAAAATTGCTGCTGTCCCAGGCACAAATGTAGATGCTGCACCCAGGAGCTCAAACTGCTCCAGGGTTTATTGCTTTGTTTTAATTGCACATGTAGATGCACCCAGCGTGTATTTCAATGAAACATTTTTTGCCAATCTCCAGTATTTTCATGTTATTTTAAGAAATAATAGTAGCACTTCATCCCTATTTTTCTTTGTATTCTAGTTGTATTTTGCACAACAAGATAATTTTAGAAAAGACATGTGATACTTGGGAGGGGAGAGAAGACAGCAATAGGAGCACTGGATCCAGCATTTTTCTTCTCTGTGGCTATAACCTGTACTGTATATCTGTATATCTACAGCAAATCCCAATATCTGGATGTCCACACCGTGCCAACCAATCTAGTATACAAGCACAAAATAAGATGTTCTTTGTAGGATGTCAACAGGGTCCCAGTGCAATGCCTAGTGGGGCATGTGGCACAGCTAAGAAACCCAAGGGGAGAAAATAAATAGTTCACTGCCTGCTCTTCCCTGGCTTCCACCCTCTAGCAAATCAAAATAAGGTTTCTTATCCCCATCCCCCTCATTTCTCCCTACTATAGAGCTGGCCTCTAAGGACACAGACAGACACGATGCTTAAAACATTCTATATACATGTTAAACCCCAAGGCCATTTTTACACATGCTTGGGGGGTGGGGAGGAGTGCTTAAAATTAGAGTGGCTTTGAGAGCTGCTCTGATTAAAGCACCCAGAGCATCTCGCATATCGGCATCCCCGCACTTCAAAATGGCAGTGAGAGCACTTTATCTAAAGCCCATTGAATGAGCTTTAGATAAAGTAACCCCACCACCAATTTGAAATGAGGGGACACTGATACACAAGACATGGAGGCTGGCTGGGGCACAGTAATTACCACATTCCAGCAGACTTGATTAATCGAGTCTGCTCTGACGCGCTATAATTACAGTGCACCAGAGCAGCCTTCCAGCTCGTGTGCAGGCACCCCAAGACTCTAGATATGCATGCCATTTAAGATCACCTTAAACTTCCTGAAACGTTTCAAAAAGCATACCAGGAAAATCAAGTACTGTTTTGAGTCAGTCCTCCATGAACTGGCTCAATGCTACATGGGGCACTCAGCATTTCATGCCTAGTGTCTGGTTAGTCCTCCACATATCCCAAAATGCACCACTCCTCACTCTCTTCCCTTCCCCCAAACACATACAGAGCAAGAGACTGTATCTGGAATGCAGCCAAGACTTTACACTCTAAACCCCCACTTCTACCTTCCCTGCACGCTGGGGTGGGCAGAACATGCCACAAGAATGGAAGCAGGGACTGTTTTTAAGTCCCGAAATCAGGTAAGAGTCCCCCCTCACACACAACACTTCTCACCATCCCCTCCTTGTATCTCCTATTCCCCCTTCCCTTGTTCATTGCTACCACTCATTCCCCCCCTCCACCTGCTCCCAGGAACAGTGGCAATAGCATACGGGTTCCTCGTCTCTGCCCAGTCCCAGCAGGTGTTCCCTGCCAGCCCAGGGAGCAAGCATGGGAAGTGACCACCACTGCTGTCCCCAGGGAAGGAGTGGAAGGGTTGCCAGGTGCTGGGGGGGTGGGCTGTGTGGCTTGCCATCCCCTTGCCCCACATGAGCCTGGCACCCCAGAGTGCAAGGTCTCTAGCAGCGAGGTGAAATTGAAGTTCAGCTTTCAAACCAGGGGTTGAAAAGCTACAGAGATCTTGGGGAACCTCCAGAGCATATAAACCCCCAAAAATCACAAGCAGGGGAGCACACACTCCCCAAGTACCTGGCAAGCCCTCCACTCCTCCCTAGAAGGCATAATGGTCAGGGTACCCTCCCACTCCCTTGTTAACATCTCAACAGCAGTGCAATCCCTGAAAAGCAAGGGTTCTACTTAGAACACTTATTAGTCCATGTGCAAACACTTCTGTCCAGGGACAAATGTGAACTGGTTCCCAGTCAGTCCCATGCTTGGAATGGCTGGAAAGTGTTATGGCTGTCTGCAGCTCAAAAGGAAGCCACACTTCCAAAGGAACTGGAGAAAACTTCTACAGCCTCTTCAAGCAACAGAATTCTGTATTATATCACTAGGAGGAGAACAAATGCTCCCCATGCCTACTATAAGTCACCCGTTTCCCTCTACCATCCCAATTCACTCCACACAGAGTTCCTCCCAAACTCCTGCTCCCAAAAAGTCATGTAACTACAAATATTATCTGCAGAGCAAATCCATAACTATGCAAATCATCTCTCACTATTTTGGTGGGCAATGGAATAAGGTCAACACTGAGGCTTCCATGTCATCCATTACCCTGATATGGAGATCGGGAAGACCATAAAATCTGATATCTCCAAGATGTCAGAACATCGTGGAAGCAGATCAAGAACTTTGACATAGCTCTTTGTTCCC